ATTGGGAGTCTTTTCAAAAAAAAAAAAATTGTACGAGCCAAACCAATACCCCCCCCCCCCCTTAATAAACAAAAAAAAATAAAACACTCGTTTCATGATACAAAAATACACTCGTTTATTGATGGATAAGATAATAAAAAAATACTTAAATAAATAGATACGAACTTCTGCCACATAATTCGTTTCAATTTCGAAACAGGATATTCTTTTTTGAATGAAGAACAAAAGCAAATCATCTCTCAAAATACTTACAGAATAACAATTATCGTCGTTCAAATTATTATTGGGTTGTAGATTACTATCGTTTTTTCCTCCAGCAATCGATTCGAAAAATGAACTTGAATCAAAATTATTCATTACAGAGCCATAATTATTATTATTATTATTATTATTATTATTATTATTATTATTATTCGACTCTGTCGATAAAAACGAAAATGAACGATTGTTGAATGCAGCTTGGTTTTGTTTTGTATTTTGTTTATTTTTATATGAAAAACAGCGATTTTGTTGTTGATGGTTTGTCGATAAACGCAAATTAGGACGAGAATAAGATGATGAAGCACATTGCATAAATGCTAATGATGAATTATAGGGAGTTTGAGACTGTTGCTGTGGCGGTGATATTGGAACAATTGGTTTAGTTTGCCGAATTTGATAAGAATGATCGAATGGCTGTGAAAGATTCGAATGTGTGTGAAAATCTTGTTGTAAATCAAGAAATTGTGGTAACGGTGGTGGTGGTAAAGGCACTGTAGATAATTGTGAAGGTAATATTCGATCTTGTCGAGTTGGCGGGAAAAATTGAGGATTAGGTAACGGGGGACGATTGAGAAATGATATAGGTGGCGCTGAAATAGGTTGATGGTATGCTAAATTTGTTCCCGGCATTGAGGAAGACGCAAATGGAGCCTGATAGTTATATGGCACAGGCATTGTTCTTTGCGAACGATATGGCACATTCATAGCATTCACTGGTGGTGCATGCGGTAAACTGATTGGTGGCATCTTACTGTTATTAAATTGATCATTTTGGTGATAATATGAATTAATTCGTGGACGATCAACAGCTGGATTGAAACTACTGTTCAAGGAAGAAAAAGGAGGTGGTGGTTCAATGGGTAACGGAGGAGGAGAGCCTGATGGTAATGGTGGTTGTTTGTTTCCTCCGAAAACTTTCTGTAGAATATGTTGTAATTCTGTTGGATTTGATAATAATTCGTGAACTTGATCTAATCGAGGTAATGACAATTGTGTAGAAGGCATGAATGGTTGTTGAGCTGATGAGTGTTCCATCGGAGGTGACAAGTGATGACTGGTATTATTTGCGACTGGTGGATAAGAAAATGGTAACGTCATTTGTTGCTGATGTTTCTGAAGAAAAGAAAGGTTAATTATAAGATGTGGAAGTAAACAATGAAGAAGACAAT